GTATTGGATTTCAAGTTGAACAGTAAATAGGCCTACGAGTTATTTTTGTGTCGGGAAAAGTATGTATAACTTGTTAATTATTTATTTTTTGTAATAATTATTATTATTATCAGTGTATTTATTATCTAATTATTATTGATATTATATCATCATTGTAATCACTATATATTATAGTGTTTATAATAATATAATAGTTATGATTATATTTTTATTGTTAACAAGGACTTATGACTGTTAACAATTATAAGTCGTTGTTATTACTGTATTGTTTTATTTAATTAGGGCCTATTTTTATATTGTTCATTCTGGCAAGCCAAATAACAAAAAGGGACCAGCAAAAGCGGAAACCCTGTCATTTCATCTTAGAGATGACGTGCTGCTCCCAGAAAAAAATTAATAAAATAATAATAATTATAATAATAATAATAATAATTATTATTATTATTATTATTATTATTATTATTTATTATAATAATAATAATTATTATTATTAATAATAATAATAATAAATCAATATCAAACGTTTAAAAATCATTTTAATATTTTTTTAACCTAGGGTACATTTAAACAAAACAAAATTATTAGATATAATGAAATAATTTCGAATATCCGGATGGATGTTATTCCACAAATTCACAAATCTAGTTAGAATTTGTGAATTTGTAATTAATTTTTATTAACTTTAAAGTAAGTTCGAATGAGAAAAAATATTCCCCGATATTAAAAAGTAAATATTGACTTTCCTGTATTCAATTACAGATCCTGTAATTGACTCAATTATCTTTATATTTATTATAACATTGCAAATTTCAATAATAGATTTGATAAGGAAGAGCCCTCAACCGATGGTATTGTTACAACTAAAACTGTTTTTCAAACTGTCGGTGAGGATTACAGCATATGGGAGGAGCAGAAAGATGTAGACGGTATGATTCTATAAATAAGAAACTTGATGTACACCGGTAATGTCGTTTAACAACCTTCAGAACATTTGAAAATATTTACAATAAATACTTAGGCCTCTTTTGATAATTCAATTTGATATATATTTTTTGATAACTTCTCATTGCTGTGCCATTCTACAGAGATTGAACGAACTAAACAGATACGCGAACACGCTATCGCTACGAATGTCGCAAAGACGTTCGATTTCACTGCTTCTACGTCCTCATCTGATCGTGGAAGGATAGCATTTCCATCTACGTCCGCATCTCCTCTCGAAGGAACATCAGCTGCATCTGTATCAGAAATTGATCCCAGAAAAAAGTCATCTTTATCCCCTGTGTTTATCAGACGGTTTAAAGGTAGATATTTATTAATGTTAATCTAGCTTTGCTCGACTTGGGTTTGTTTTTTGTATAAGTTGTGAGTTCATATGATCCATTTCTATTTATTGTTTTTGTTGCGTTCAGTGGCGTGACGATGCCGTCGGGGCCCTGTGGCTTTCTGAGACTGGGCACCACAGTGGTGGCGCCACGGGGGAGGGGGAAGGAAATTTCCCCCGTCGGCCTGACCCCTTTTCGTCCGACGTCTCAACGATGTCGTTGGATGAAAGATTTACAAATATTTAATTTGCCTACGGTATGCAAATAACGTTATTTTGATTGCCAATCGTTGTAGTCTAAAAGCACAATTTGGACCATGCTAAGCTCTGAAAATTCTCCCGTGAACACTACCAAACTGGGACTAGGACCGAGGCCTTATAGTCGGCCCCTTTGTTCCGGTTCCCACATCCGACATGTCAGACCCCTTGTAGGCAAATTTCTGGAGCCACCGCTGGGTCCTTTTTAGGTCTCATTCTGTAATTTCATCGTGAAATTTTTGATTTGCTCGTTTTTTATTCATGTTTTACTTTGTTATTCTATTTTTTTAACGATGAATAAAATGATATAATATCAGTGATGGATCCAGGAATTTTAAATAGAGATGACCAGGGATAAACTTTGAGAGATTGAGCGTAAACCACATCAGCCCTGGTTGGGGCTGATCTAATAACGTTTATGATTGTGGCACCTCTGGATGGCGGGAAATGCCACAGATTTAAAATTGTAATATAATTTGATTTTCATCTCCATTAAAACAAATGACAAATTTAGTTGGGGCTCCGGGCCGACAGGACGCCCTTTAATCCTCCACAATAGGCCTATATAGGCATATGATATAGGCCTATGTCATACAGTCGATGTCAGAGATACATTATGCTATTAATTATGTATTCATAAAACCTTTTTTGATCAAAGTTATAGATCGAGGACCATATGAGTGGGGCCACAAGGGGTCGGGGCCCTGCGGACCGCCACACGAGAACGCATGGGCATTACGCTACTGGTTGCGTTAAATCTAGATCGCTTATTTGATTTTGAATTGTGAAATAAATCAAGCATTCCTGTTTTCTGGATATGTATAATATTTGTAAAATGTCAACGATTATAATATTAGAATTATGAGTATTATCATCATCATCATCATAATCTTTATCATTATTATCATCATCGTCTTTGTCATTAATATCATCCTCAACATTTTAACCATCATTATTATCAGCATCATAATTAAAGTTGTCACCACCCTCATCATTATCGTCACTATCACCATCATTATCATCATTTATTATTATCATAATCATCATCTTAACAATGAATACAACTTCCATCATCACCACAATAAATTACATTAAAAAATAAACAATTCATTACAATATCAATAGCTAGGTTCACATTCAGAATTTAACATGATCGAGTGGATCATGATCAAGCCAGTCACTTTATGTGAACCAACCAGAATCAAATAACGTGCTCAGCTTAATCACCTTATTGTGATCTAGTGGAGCATGTTGATTCATCATGATTAACCTTGGTTAACGTGATAAATTAATTCATGAGATTGAATTCAACCAATCAGCCTTCAGTTTATTAAACAGGTCCCAACCTCATTGGTATGTGCTTCTGTTAGATCTTAACCTCATTGGTTGTGCTTCTGGTAGTTTTCATGCAACACTGCACGCATTAGCATAAATAGATCATGATGATGGTTTCTATATGAACGGTTTTCTCTAACATGCTAAAGTTATGATGAATAGATCATGATAAGTTTATCACGATAGCTTATGTGAACGTACCTACTCTTTCATTCTAATTCTTATATACATGACTTACCATAGTATTCATGGCCTCTGATGACTTGCCTTAATATGTTCGTGTTTGTCTTACATCAGACCAGTAGTATATAAACCGGTAGTAGCTTAAGCATTATCACCTGATGATGATGTGTGACACGTTGAAACATGTCTTTATAGGCCTATATTTAAAAAAATGTGTTGCCACCCTTGTTGATGTTGATTTAACTATCAAATTATTTTCAGAAAAAACTATATCTGAAGACAGGGGAGAATCTACCGGTCTGCTTCATGAAATGGGAGTATCGACCGATCAACTTAATGAAATGCGCAAGAAAGTCATCGACAAACTTGCCAACAAGAGTTCTGGGCCAAGTGATGTAACTTGCATATGGGACTATGCCGGCCAACTTGAATATTTCATTACTCACCGAGTAAGTGGCGATTCCGGGGGTGGAATCTAAAATTTGTCAGGGGGGTGGGAGGGAACAAAATTTTCAAAAGTGAGTAGCTCGTAACATTAATATGCATTTAACTTGTAAACTATTAGTGGCAAAAAAGGTGGGGGGGGGGAGGTGAGGGCGTAAGTAGCACTTCCTTCTATTCCTCAACCAGATTCTCGTTTGGATTTTATAAAACGATAAGACGTTGAATTTCTGAATCTTCCGTGTTTGCTTGTGGATTTTTATGGAGGCAGAGGCTTTAAAATCGAAGAAAAATGTATGAAGGATAAACAAGCAGTTCAAAGATTTAAAGTGAACGCGTTATGACTATGAATCGTAAAGCGTATACAGACTAGGCCCATATATTTTTTTTAACACACATTCAGTAAAAATCCTTATACAGTTGCGCAATCACTAATTTGTGCATTACTGCGAAAATCTATCATCATTATGCACGCAGTACTGAAAGGATGTGGCTGTATGATATTGTGTTTATAGAAACAGTTTGGCGCAGCGGGAACGGGTGTCAATCCCTCGCTGTGCATTTCGCTTGTGTCCTTGAGCAAGACACTTCATTTGCATTGCTTCTCTCTACCCAGGAGTATAACTAAGTACCTGGTGGGGTTGCCTGCTCCTGTGCTGATTACCAGCAGCAACACTTAGCAAGTGGACCCAATGACCAGGGAAAGGAACTGCGCTTATAATCACAAGGAAGAGACGCATTATAAATGACCGTACCAGTACCAGTGTGTTGTATAACAATTGCACTGCATTGAATACAAAAATAATATTTTGCTGAAATTACTGCAGTAGTGGCGTGTAGGAGGTGTTAGATACGCAATCATGGTCAAGTTGTGCGTTGTTAAAAAAACTTCATCATCTTATTTTGCGAGTTAGCGCCCAAACTGATTATCGAGTCCCCCACCCACCCCCTCCCGCTTCACTTTCAGGCTTCCAATCAGCTTCCCCACTTCACGATTCCTAGATACGCCACTGTTTACCTCTCTTTGTTATAAATAGAATACTTTCTCACAGTTTGTATATCCTATTTCTTTCCAGATTTTTATTACAGATGGAAATTCTTATGGAGTTGTTTTCAATTTGGTAGATGCTTTGGATAAACTGGCAAAAAGAAGAGATCCCAAAAAAGTAAACCATTTAAATATTCTATTTAATTTAAGGAACTCAATTGTTTAACTTTATTTAGTTTAATCAATAATAAGAAAAATGTAAAACAAATTATCATGCATTGAGTGGAATAAACCCATTCCTGAAATAATTAATTTCAGCCTGTAATTAATTGTATATCAATTTATCCATAACTTTATTTTAAAAATTATGCTGACGATATTGTTTATATGCAGGGACATTTTGAGATGACAAATCTGCAAATGATCATATTTTGGATAAGGCTGATATATGAGTATGCTGTACTGCTACATGGCTCAGAGGAGAAACCTTTGATCAATGGAATTATAGC